AACACCGAATCAAAATAGCGAATATCACCAATGGGTACTATACTATAATAGATTGTATGTAAAAGGAATGACTGATCTTGATGTACGGTATTTTGCATCTATTGATACTTTATTTTCTAATAATATTTTCTCTTCGAATTGGAAGTTGGGTTGATGCTTCTTCATTTTAGTTTGTCTTTGAATTTCTTTTTTAGTCAAAGTTGCATCGATGCATACATTCATTCATTCAATTTGTTTTGTTGTTCTTTGTCGTTCTTGGGATCTCGAGAGCTCCTCCTTATTGTCATGGAATTTCTTTCCAATCAAAGTTGTATGGAAGAATTTTCATGAAAAGAGGATCTCGGAGGTTCCTCTTTTTGTTTTGTGGATGATTCTTGACCGACGCCGCCGAATGAAGGGATTGTGCCGTATGCGGGGTATATGCTTCGTGGTTGGGCAACTTTCCATTGATTCAACAATCAAGTTGCCCAAATAGAGTAACTGCTCCACAGTAGTATCGGGGGCGCTTCTCGGTTTGAGACTCGCCGAAACACTGATACAACAACAGCTATCATGCTTGCCTTGGGCATTATCTCTTTTTACAAGGTACCACTCTTGACAAGTCCTCGATAATAATCGCGACACAGAGTGATAATGTTCGTACTCATTCCCATGGTCGACGATCTAATATGGACCATCGACATTCATATCGTCACCGTCTACGCCCATCCAGTCAATTGAAGTTAGATCGACTTCCATTTCATCAATATTGACTTGCATCCAGTCAATTTCAGGTAGATCGATGTCCATTTCGTCTTGATCAACTTCCATTTCATTGCAGTCAACAGAAAGACAAGAGAATCCTTTAGCAAGCTCGGCCACAGACAGATCCGCCTTGCTACTTGCGACGATTCCCAAAGAAGGATGGAGGGCAAGGTATAAGTCTCCATCATCTCAGCTTCAATGTTGTCTCCAGCAATAGCATCCCGACAATCAGATTCCGAACTGACATCTCTGGCAGCTGGAAATGAGTTGTACACAAAAGGACCAGCGTTCAGAGGACAAGTGAACTTGGCTCTGTTTCGGATCTGAAGTGCTCGTCGTTGCTCGCCTTGACGGCGTTGTTCCGCGGTTTTAAGGTCATCCTTAATGTTGCGACGTGTAGAATTGATTCCAAAGGTGTTCATGTTTGTTTTGTGTTTGGTGTTATGTGAAGAATAAGTTTGCTTGTAAGAAAGATATATGAAAAAGAAAGCTTGGAACTTTGTTTTATGAGCTTTTGCATTGCGAATGTCGCAATGGCAAGGGTGCAAGTTTGCATCGTGGAAACACGCTCACGATGGGTACAAGAAACGACTTTCACATTTCGTTAGCTAGTTGGAATGGCGTAAGGAAGCAATTCCAAAGTCGGCAGTGTTCTTGGATCAAGTGTCTTTTCGATAATGAATCATCCATGATGGATGCAATAACTTCACCATTTACCATGGTTTCATTGATGATATTAGGTGACAGTACTGTAGATGAAAATTATATGCATATCATGATGGCTGTATTGAGTATATACTCGAACAGTCAAAAAGCACACGCACTTGATGTCCGTATAAAAAAGTGGATATCGGACGCTTTCCCGTAGGTACTTGTGTAGGCGATTATCATCAGTATGAAAATATGCACTTATTTAGTTCCTCCACTATCATTCAGTAATAATGCATCGCTCATCCATCCTTGGCTCATCATCATGCATCTGGTATTGGCCATGGCTTCAACCAACAGGTTAGCATCATCCCCTCGCATGTTTTGAGCATTGTGAAACACAAGCTCCTGAATGCCATCATGGGCCAAAATACCTACAGACAGGCAGGAGGACACTGTTTCGTCCTCGAACACTGAGTGCTGAATGCTTAGGCTTTTTTCACCGCGGCATTGAGAATCTACAAAACCACAAAGCCCAAGAAATTTCTTTCAATTCCTGCAGTCTAATTTGGAGGACATCGGATTCGAGCCTCAAACCGAAGTCGATCCATGTCTTTTCATCTCGAAAAACTGTATCTGTCTGGTCTATGTTGATGATACTTTGTTCTTCTCACCTGAGCAGAAGTATATCGATGAAGCCATTGCCAAGCTAAGAGAGAAAGGAATGGAGCTCGAAGAAGAGACGCCAGTCGAACGCAATGAAGAAACCGGAGCTATCACCTTGTGTTGGAAGTCATGATGAAGCAGAGGACTATGTTAGTGCTGATGATAGTCCGTCCGAAGTGAAGAAGGTGTCTTGGGCCGATGTTGTTCGTAAGAATCCTGTACAATAGTACCGGAAACTTAGTATGCGGTAAAGTCTGAATCAACGGATGGAGCTTGGGCGTTGCTCTCATTCTGTTGATTCAATCCCAATTGTAGCACCGATTAAACATCGCCTATAAGTTCAATCTTTATCATCGATAGAACTCCTACCGCTTAGGATTAACGATCCAAGCAGTTCTAGTCGTAATTTTGATTCTAACATTGAATCAACAGAAATATCACAAAACGAATATTTGCAGAGTTTTCATGCGAGAAGAGGAATACATTGAGGAATTGAAACGTATCGAGGAACAGGTCCGGAAACTAAGATTAGACCTGGAGAAAGAAAGAGAAAAGAAAGCACCTGTGGATAGGAGCCCCAAGGACAAGAAACAGAAGGTTCGCCGACAACAGACGACTTCTGGGAAGCTATCGATCGGAGACCGAGTGCGGATTGCAAATCCGAACAAAGGGCAGGAATCAGAGGGCGAAGTTACAGGCATTAATCGCATCTCTGGATTCGTCACCGTCCACGCACGAACGCAAAGAATCAGAAGATTGGCGAAGAACCTAGATAGGTTGGAACCCTAAATTAGACGAAGAAACCAACCGTTCCGACACAGCAAAATGCTGACTTATCAATGGCGCCCAGGACGGCCCATTGACGACGATGACGTGGTTGTCTTGCCGACCCCCGTTGACACCACCATCATTCCAGCACCAATTGTTCACCCTTTGCCTAACCCAGGCCCCAATCCTTTCGCCGTACCAGTTACAGCTGCACCGTCAGGAGCGGATGTTGCACTACTAGAGGCAGCGCAGGAAGCGGAGGAGACGGAGCAGCACGAAAACGGAAGTCTGGGCGAAGATGAGCAAGAAGCGCCACAGTATGGTAACCAAGGAGCGGAGGATGGTGAAAATCAAGGAGGAATTATGGAGGGAAATCAAGGAGCGGAGGTTAATGAAAACCAAGGAGCGCCATTGGATGAAAATCAAGGAGCGGAAATAAACGAAAACCAAGGAGCGCCATTGGATGAAATTCAAGGAGCAGAAACTGATCATGAAGCACACGACGAGAACGATTTCGATAACTTTGACTTAGACAACAGCCTGGAGCCGTTGGAGGAGGGTGAAGAAGAAATCGTTTTTGTAGAAGATTCCGACTCGGACTCTGATACAGAAGACGAAATCAATGACAGAGACACTGACGAAGACGAGCTTGATACTCCCAAAGAAGAACAAAGGAGGAGATCACAACATCTGAAGACACACACGGGGGGAAACTACGGTTTTGGGAAACGAGAGAAAAAGAAAACTGAGAAAGGCCAAGGGCTATCATTTTTACAGATCCCTTTTGCAGATCTTAAGATCAGTCAGAAGAAGGAGAGTTTTTCAAATTTGCATGGGACGAGTATCATCTTTCAGGTAAAACGAACATGCTTGAAACATTCACCACAGGGCTCGTTTTCGCGCAGATGTCTGCAAAACAAGGAATAAAGAAGTATGGGAAGGAAGCAGAACTCAAACTAATCGAAGAGTTCAAACAACTTATGGAATTTAATGTATTCCATGGGGTGAAGGCTGACAGCCTCACTGCCGAAGAAAAGAAAATGTCCGCGAACATGATCAACATAATTGAAGAAAAGGTGAACAGAGGACACACACCGGAGAATCCTATTTTGAGAGCCAGAAGCGTGATGGACGGAAGAGTACAGCGTGGGCTATACTCAAAGGAAGAGACGGCATCTCCGACGGTATCACTTGACGCTTTCCTGTTGACAAGCATTATCGATGTCATTGAAAACAGAGACAAGGCAATTACAGACGTAAAGGGAGCGTACTTACACGCCAAAATGAAAGACAAGGTCATTATGAAAATCACAGGACCGGAGGTGGATATTTTCTGCAACATTGACAAAACTCTAAAGGAGTTCGTCGTCGAGGAGAGAGGAAAAAGGGTGTTATGCGTTCAGTTGGACAAAGCTTTGTATGGGTGTGTTCAATCTGCTTTGCTATGGTTTGAGTTGTACTCGGAAACTTTGAAAGGCATGGGTTTCACTTTGAACCCATATGATCTATGCGTCGCGAATGGAATTTTTGAAGGAAAACAGTGCACCATATGCTGGTATGTGGATGACAACAAAATCAGTCACGTAAACCCAAAAGTAGTCGATGATGTGATCAAGAAAATCGAAAGCAACTTTGGGCCCATGTCACAGACGAGAGGGGACAAGCATGATTTTTTGGGCATGGAACTCAAGTATAAAAAAGGAAAATTGACCATAGGCATGAAAAAACACATTCTCAAAGCAATAAACACTTTCGATGAAGACATTACTAGGAACGCAGCTTCACCAGCAAAGGGGTACCTATTTGATGTAAGGCCAGATGCTCAGAAACTCGATGAGAAGAAAGCCGACTGTTTTCACAGCGTGGTGCAATCTTTACTATACGTTTCAAGAAGATGCAGACTTGATATACAGACTGCCATCGGTTTTTTGTGTACCAGAGTTGATTCGCCAGACGAAGACGACTGGGCAAAGTTAAAAAGACTATTGCAATACCTCAGAGGAACCATCGATCTAGTACGAACGTTAGGAGGAGAAGACATCAAAAGGATGAAATCTTGGGTTGACGTCTCCTATGGCATCCATGACGACTGCAAGAGCCATACTGGCGGATGCACTTCTTTCGGATGGGGGGTCTTACTCACAAAATGTCAAAAACAAAAGTTGAATACTAAGAGCTCGACCGAAGCCGAAATTGTCGGCGTGAGTGATTTCTTACCAAATATGATATGGGCTCGAATGTTCCTAGGCGAACAGGGACATGAACTCATGGTAAATGTTCTATTTCAAGATAACCAGAGCGCGATCAAAATTGAACTAAATGGCAAAATGTCAAGCGGGCAAAAGACAAAGCACATGGACAATCGTTATTTCTGGATCAAGGATCGTTTGAAGACGGAAGGTATCGAAGTTCAATATTGTCCGACTGCAAAGATGTTGGCGGATTTCTTTACGAAACCCCTACAAGGCAACTTGTTCAGAAAATTCCGAGATGTGGTTCTAGGATACAAACACATTGATTCCCTTTTCCAAACGGAGGAATCATCATCACAGGAGCGTGTTGGAAGTCATGATGAAGGATAGGACTATGTTAGTGCTGATGGTAGTCCGTCCGAAGTGAAGAAGGTGTCTTGGGCCGATGTTGTTCGTAAGAATCCTGTAAAATAGTACCGGAAACTTAGTATGCGGTAAAGTCTGAATCAACGGATGGAGCTTGGGCGTTGCTCTCATTCTGTTGATTCAATCCCAATTGTAGCACCGATTAAACATCGCCTATAAGTTCAATCTTTATCATCGATAGAACTCCTACCGCTTAGGATTAACGATCCAAGCAGTTCTAGTCGTAATTTTGATTCTAACACCTTGACTCAGAAAGGTCTGATCAAGCGTATTGTTGATGCTCTTGGTGTCCAGAAGACATCGCCTACACCAGCTCACTTGGATCCATTAGCGATCGATGCGGAGGGAGATCTACCTGATGGTTTGTACACCTACGCCTCAGTTGTTGGAATGCTCCTGTATTTGTTCGGACAAAGTCGTCCAGATATTTGTTTTGCAGTTTCTCAAGTCGCACGATTCATTCACGGGAATCGACGCAGTCACAAAGTAGCGATCGAACGAATCGGACAGTATTTGAAGGGAACGATGGACAAAGGTAGACTTTGATATCGACTGCTACGTCGATGCTGACTTCGCGGATCTATGGAACGTCGAGGAATATACGAATCCTGAGTCTGTACGAAGCAGAGCAGGATATGCAATCTGTATCTGTGGCTGTCCAATCATTTGGAAGAGTCAATTGATGCGACCTATTGCAGCTTGTACTATGGAAGCGGAGTATAATACTCTCGCTTTATCTATGAGGGACGTGGTACCCTTGCAGGAACTATTCAAGACAATTGGCCACGCTGTTGGAATCGGCAAGGAGGAATTCTGCACTCAAATTCAGCACAACTATTCATGAAGACAACCAAGGTGCCCAGAAGTTGGCATGCATGGAACCAGGCCATCATACTCCAAGGTCGAAGAGTTTTTGGGTCCGGTCCCATTGGTTCCGGCAGTACTTAAAGCCGACACGCACTAAAGTGGTCTACATCAAGACCAACCTACAGAAGGCTGATATCCTTACCAAAGGACATACCAAGGACAAGTTTCTTCGATGCAGAAAGCTACTCTCCGGCTGGTAACCACCTTCTTATCTGTCAAGCATATCATACGACTCAAGTCAAGTCCAATGTTCGGAAGACAGTGTTGGGGTGGAATTCTGCTGATATATTCCTCCAGTTTTGGGTTCCTCATAGGACGTTGATCTTCGCTTGAGATTCCGTGTTCCATTCGAGCACGCGCACTTCAACATACATATTGTCCAATCTCATCATGTCACCACGTCAGTGTCACGTGAGACGGACCTACTGTTCTCTTTTGAGTGAATTCCATCTCTCGGAGATCGTAAAATCACATAATAAGGATTACCAGGTACCCGATTATCAACTTTCCAGAAAGTACACCTAAATTTTGGCAATTTGCCCCATTCGCTGAAAACACACTTACTTTCGGGATAGTTGACACAACCTGGAAAAGGAATTCAAATAGGAATAAATAAAAAATTATACTAGTGTACTATTTTTAATTTCTTCAAAAAAGGGGTATTTTGGGCTGTTTTTTTCCTGGAACAGGGTCTTACGTTGCGAGAAATGCTGTCTTAATTGGATGTACTGTTGCCTTTTTTAAGATCATGTTGTTCCTTGTACTCGGTGCAAAGAATATGCAAGCACCTTTGGGATGTTTCCGAATTTTCTTCTAATTTTTGTATTTTTTGCTGCATTGTTTGAATTTGTTGCATCAATGTTTGACACAGTTCCTTCAATTGATTCACCTCTGATTGGCCTTGTTCACCGCTTGTTTTCCCTTTTTTTTTGGTTTGGTAGCGCATCCTGTGTTGTACTGCATGTTCAAGGTCTTCTCCTTTCAATTCTATGTACTTCTTTTCCTCATCTTTTCCTTTGGAAGCAGGCTTCAAGAACTTCCCCCCACGGTCCCGAATACTCTTGATGATTGTTGCTACAATAACAGCCTTCACGTCGTTCTTGTCAGAATTGTGGTACTCTTCCCAGTTTTCTGTGATCAAATCACTATATTCCTTGTATCCCTGATTTTCAATACCCCCTCTGCCTTTCGCAATGACCACATCATGTTCACCGATTAGGGATGTCATCTTGAAGTTGCAGCAAGTGGTAGTAATGCAGAGAAATGTATCGTTGATGAAAAGGTTGACGTACTCAAACATATAGACCGTAGCAAAAGTTGACTACAGTTGGCATACGGTGGAAGGCCGTACCGCCTTTGCTGCAGGGATTTTTAGTGGGTTTTCAGCCAATGAGAGCTAGTCGAATCAACCCATTTTTAAGTGGTCTGAGCCAATCACAGCGGGCCATTCACGAAAAATAGACTATCTCCACTAAATTAGTACTGTCCCAACCCATTGAAATGGTGATTGGATCTTGATTGGAGGGACAGTAACACACGGCCCTAGCAGTACGCCTCTGCCTTATTAAGCACTGTTGCACTTTATCTTAACGACCAACCTTCGCATTGGATAATGAGAATCCGCTGCAGCTCCCCTAGGATGACTTCTAGCTGCACTGAAGAATGGGCGGGGCAGTATAGTAGTAAATGGTGGTGGTCGGGGGAAGGCAACCGGAAATTAGTCACTAGCACTACTAGCAGAGATGGAAACTTCCAACGTCAGAAAATGTTTTCAACCTTCTAGTTAGACCATGTATTGATTAATATCGTTTAGTAGTCCCTCATGGCAGCAGGAGGCTCCTGAATTCAAATGCTATAGCTACTAGGCAGTTTCTTCACCTTCACAATCAAGCCATTGTCTTAATTAGGTGGTGCACCAAGTCTCCTTGTTGATTGTTTTCTCGTCGGAACCAAATATGCGACAATAGAATCTGAAAATATATTCTATCATCATGCGGTAGTAGACTGTCTTGGCGCGACCTTGACACCTGGCCATCAAGTACGAGCCCAAAAAGGGTATTGTCTATGCTTTCTCCTTGAACTGTTACTCAAGACTTGTTTATTGTTGGATTTCCTCAATTGTTCTATACCTCTGTAGTCTCTTCTGGATAACATCGATCTTTCTTCGTTGGCCCTTCTTCATCTTTCTTGCTGGTCCTCAAAATACTGATTTAGCACATCATATAAGTATGGGATAATCTACGGATCGAATCCAATGCTGTCTCTTTGTCGCGAGCCTCCCATAAGTTAAGATTTCATCAAAAGCATAACGCTGATGCCAGCCGGCGGCGTTGTGTTTTTGTTCATGCCCTGGTTCACATTACTTTCAAATGGTTTGTTGTCGACTCAAAATCAGGCTTCGTCTTTAGAGCTGGTTGCTTTCCATATAGCTACACGAAGACCTTCGAGCTTCTTGAAGCCGAAATCCAAGCTTGACACAGAATCAAACTGTTCGAGGTCTCAAGCAACTATCTCTTCTACGATGGAAGTATGTCTCTCCCAACTCACTCATT